ATTTCTCGAACATCCTGGTCGGTAAATGTCATTAATACTGTTTAATTAAAAAAGCAGACCACTTACTTAAATAAATTATATCTGTGAAATAACATATATACAAAAAAATATACTAAATACATGTCGGACTTAATCTATTACTTGATATATATATATATATATAAATATATATATATATATATATATATATATATATATATATATAAAACATAAAACATTAGGCAGCATATATTTATATACAAAGAAATAATCACGCATAGAATCAATCAGCAATATTAATGCTATTATTGGTGATATCACATATATAACAGTATTTTAATGCATACATTATATTCTACTAGCGATTTGATATCGCCCATTATAGCATTAATATTGCTGATTGATTCTATGCGAGATTATTTCCTTACATATATATATATATATATATATATATATATATATATGGTATAAAATGAAGATTGGAAAAAAATCGTAGACTTTGCCGACGCGTTTCATCTTCCGACTTTTCTACGTCGTCGGCAAAATCTAAGAAGTTTTTCCAATTGTCATTTCATACCATATATATATATATATATATATATATATATATATACTCAAATGTGAGAAAGAACAGATGGAGCAAAAATCCATAGTTCGTAGCATTTATTTTTTTTAAAACGTGCTCAATATCAAGTAGAGCAAAATATTATAATGTTTTTATTATAATAAATTACAATAAAAACATTTCACGTCGCAAGTCCAGTTCTGCTTGATGACACTGCTCGACCACATGTTGCTCCGCGGACACTTTATAAGCTCACCGACTTAGGACACGAGACTTTGCCACAAGCATCATATTACCCTGATCTCTCGCTCACTGACTACCACTTCTTTCAAGCACATTGTCAATTTTTTAAGCCAAAAGACATTCCGTTGAAAGAAAGTTACAAAACATGTATTCGAGGATTTCATAGCGTCTGGTTCTTTAGAGATTTATTGTAAAGGCATAATTGACTTTGTTACCCGATGGCAAAATTGTATGAGCCAATTAAGTGCCATACGTGATACACGCTTGGGCGATCATGTATCATTCCATATATGACTGACGAGTCAGAAGATTTTTCCCGGTGTAGGTTGCCATTTTTTCTACGGCAGACTGGTTGCCAACCAAGGCTAAAAACCCAGTCTGCGCTGCTATTCAGCCCATAGCTTGGGGGAAAATAAATAGATTCATAGCTTTTACAAGGTTATTTGTGGGTAAGTGAATATAACAAAATTGACTGGGATTCGTACTCAGCTCTCCAAGTTCGCATTCTGAGCTGATATCCATTACTCCACAACGCATACAAATGTATAGATGTTCCTATTTTGACCGATTTTAACAGTTTAAATAGATTAATTAAGGAATAAAAGTTGAGACTAAAATCGGAGTGTATATTTCGATATACCTAACATAAATTTCCGTTTTTGTTGTTAACCTGCCCAAATCATGGCCTTGCACATGATGAACTTTCGGTAGCGTAAAGAAACCAATGAAGGTGTCCTTTAACTAAAAAAAAAAAGAAAAAGAAAATAAAAAGAAGCGAAATATTCTTTTACTTATTTCCTCAATGGCACGTATTCAGCTACAATAGCTGAGTCTTTTTAATCACTACGATCTCTAAACTAGTATTCAAACAGGCACGTTCCTCCCGATTCGCGTGTCTCTATGACAGCTGTTTAAACGTGAGTTATCGCCCTTGTTGTTGCGTATTCTTCCAGGAGGAGGACGTGACTTTCGCTTGTTTTCCTTTCTCTCTCCAATACAATTACCACAATGCCGATCAATGCGTCTGTGTAGCCATCACATTACAACGTCCACCCGACCATCACCCAACTGCAAAAGTTACAAACATTACTACGTACACACGAAAGCGAATAAATAAGCATCCGGCGTCGATCCTCCTTGGGTGACCCACACACTTCTGACCGTGTTGAACAAAGTTTTAATGGAAATCAATCCAGTTAACCATGAAAAGAGACTTCGATTTTTACAGAGTACTTTGCTTTTGACAGACTTATTTATTTTTTTTTTTTAAAAGTAAGTTGTAAATTTCACTTCAGTCAATCATGGTCTATGCATGATACACGCTTAGGAGATCTTGTATCTTTCGATACATGACTGACGAGGCAGATTTCTTCCCGCAGTAGGTTGCCATTTCTTTCAGCGGTAGATCAGTTGCCAATCCGAGGCTATAGAACCCGGTCTGTTCAGCTATTAACTATAGCTGGGGGGGGGAGAAGAAGAGGATTCATACCTTTTTCAAGGGTATTATCACGTAAGTAAATTTCAGTCAATTGTGTACCATGCGTGATACACGCTTAGGCGATCGTGTATCTCGATACGTGACGGACGAGGCAGATTTCTTTCCGCAGTAGGTTGTCAATTCTTTCTGCGATAAATCAGTTGCCGTCCAAGGTTATAGACCCCGATTATTACCCATAGCTTTCCCAAGGGTATTAGCCGGTAAATGAATGTAAAGGATTTGACTGGAATTCGAACTCTGCTCTCCGATTCCTCAATCTGAGCCACTGTCCATTACTACACCGTGTCTCCTTACCTCTATAAAATTTATGTATAAAAATATTTGAATAATTTTCTAATGTTTGTTGTTGTTAGAATAAGAAGCAGAAGAAAATAAAAACGAAAAGATGAGAACTTCGTTTTTCAACTATTTAACTAATTCCATACGGTTTTAAGAAGTTTTAATTAACACTATTTACATTGTTCAGACTATTGTACTCATCTTTGTTGCCATATTTATCACAACGTCTCGGTCGTTTTTTGCCTTCTTCAGGTGGTTGGAATATCGAACTCGTTCGTTCTAGTTCCACATGCCATGTCTAATGGATGTCAGTCATCAGTTATCTCCTGTTAATTCCCCTCTCCAAGTTCTCCACTGCCTTAACCGTGTATTGAACTCACACTCTTTCCAGTCACTGGATATAACTAACGCCTTTATCCACAGTGTCATGTGTCTTTGAGTATATCTGTGTATGAATTTCTGGGTATTATAAACCTAAAGTCTTCAGCAAACATTTTACCAGTGCTCATATTGCAATTTTTGCTGTTATCTTTGCATGTTTTTTACCAGTGCTCATATTGCAATTTTCGTTGTTATTATTGCTTTTCTCTGGCACTCCTTATTACTGGTTCCGATATTGTATTTATCTCTATGCTTGGTCGGCTCAGGAGATTTTTGTGGCCTAGCATATGTACTGATTCCTTAAGTTTACGAATTTTCCAATGATGTTCTTTGTCTATGATTTCAACCTGATTCCACAGAGGACGGTGGTCTCCCTTTTCTCTCCATATGTGGTCATCCACGCCTGATTTTTCCACATCCCTTTGTGTTACAGCTTTCTGGTGTTCTTGAAGCCTTACCTTAAGGGGCAGCCTGCCTTCCCTTTATATTTCTTTCCGCAGCTGCACGGGATGACGTACACACAGTCTTTAGTCGTGTTCTCTTCTATGGGGGCTCTTACTCGGGAGAGATATCTGCGAAGTGTCATCCAGCTTTTGAAGGTTGTCCTGATGTTATATGGACCGCAGATATTTTGTATTTTAATTAAATAAATTATTTTGACTTATTTACATGATTGCGTAATTTCCCCGGCTCCGTTAGACTAATTTGTAGTAATGTGGAATGGCAGATAACAAGAATGATTACTACGAAGGCTGCAGGAAATAATATGTTCAACGTTGGCGGGCTAAAATTATAGAATTCTATAACATTTTTTATATTTTTTAAAATTATTTACCTCATGTCCTCTTCTTTAAAAAGCTATTTTTAAAAGATAATTATATTTGTTTGTACGTTTTCTATTAAAAAAATAAATACATTGTTATTTTTGTAACTTACGATTGAATGTTGAGAAGGCAGATATGAATTATTTTTATACAAGGACGATGTATCTAAAAAAAAACCTTTATCGACAGAAATATAGCGTATACCGCGTGTAGCAGCAAAATTGTCCAAATCGTCTAACAGCATAATTGTCTATCCCACAAAATGTTTAATATCTAAAAAAAAAAAAACACAAAACTAATTGAGTTTCTTTTTCCCAGGTTTTCAGATAAGACGTTTAGCCATCTTGACACCATTTGTCGAAAAAAATCACTGAAAAAAAAATCCTTTCAGTTATTCACTTAAAAAGAGAATATGTTGAAATCGTTCTGTGCCAAAAACACTGTCTTCCCAACTGAGCAATGGTGAGATTAAAAAGATAATTTTAGTAACTGTATCTATATTCATACTCTGGCTTCCATCTTGAAATTCCATTCAAGAGCCATCAAGAGAATGGCGAATAAGTTTAAAGAAGCTTAATAATGTGCAAATAAGCTTCTAAATAATAATAATAATCTATTAAACAATAGACATGAGTTAACGGTTTTCTGTCGACATCATCAGATTTATGGTTTGAATTATTAGCTAAAAACAAGCATACAATATAATAACTTGATTAATCCAGAGCCCAATCATCAGATTCATGGTCTGAATAATTAGCTAAGAACAAGCATACAATATAATAACTTTCATAATCCATAGCCCAAATAAATAGTTTAAATACCCTACAAAAAAGATAACCCTTTATGAAGTCGTCAAAAAACAAACATTACGGCAGTTTTTTATATGCACAAATCCCTTTCATAAAAAAATAAAATAAAAAAATAAATAAATCTCCATAGACACGCATACCAGACTAGGGTGAATACACCTTCCGTTTCAAATTTAGACACCCCCACCTTACTCTGACTTGACATCTATGAAAGTAACTCTATACTGATACTTATTATTAACACCCAACACACGCCTACCCAATTTCAACAATTCGCTCTAGCTGTTACCATGGAAATTTTGATTTCAATTATTAAAACACGTAAATTTCAGAAATACGTTATTCCCAAAAAAATTTCGCTTGAAGATGGAACAGAGCTTACTTTAACTCAATTTTAATTCAAATAATTATATTGAAGTTTTCGGCTCTTGTTTTGAAACATGAGACCTCTTATGTCGCGAGTTGGAATCATATTTTTAAATAAATAATTATATTTATGCTCTACTTTTGTATCGAGCATTATTTTTTAAAAATAATAACTAAAATACTAAGGAACTTTGGATTATTTACCTAACCAGTTCCTTCCTATTTTCTACATATTTTCACACACACACACACATATATATATATATATATATATATATATATATATATAGTTTTAAAGTGTGCTACATTTATGGCATAAAGTGCTCAATATCAGAGATAGAGCGTATGTAAACATAAATATAAAAATAAACATTGAACACTCAGAGGCGACAGACTGTTTCATCTCTCTCTTTTATCTATCTATCTATCTATCTATTCATATATATATATATATATATATATATATATATATATATATATATATATATATATATATATAAATTTATATATATATATATATATATATAAATCTGATTTGTCATAAAAATAAATAAATAACAGGTAAAATATTTATTAAAATATATTTTTAAAATAGTTAAGCAAATTAAAAGTTATCGCGTACAAAGATTAGTGACCTCTGTTACGTCATATCAGTCCTCTTGTAAGACAGTAAATGCTGAGCAATCTCATCACAGATTAAAAGGAGCCTTTAGTTAGCAGAAATGTGGTTCAACAGAATAATACTCAAGATATCATGAACCAAACATGTGAGCAAAAATGGAAACAAAGAAGAGAAGTATAAACATCAGGAACAGACAGTTGAAATTTCTAGGGCATATATATAAGAAAAGAGGGGTTGGAAAATTTGATACTCAGAAGACTGAATGATGGGAAGAGGAATCAGTGATCTTGAGTAAATAACTAAAGCGTCATCCGGATGACTCAATTACTTCCAGACATTGGTTCACCACTTCTGTAGCCAGGTATTGATCTCACAACTCTTTGGGTCAAGTCATTGGATTACAGCCAACGCTTTTATCCACTGGACCATGCGTTCTTGAGGACACCAGGATACGAATTTCGGGGACTTACAAAATTGATATCTCAGTAACCATTTTTTTAGCAGGGAAACGTCGTGAATACGACAATAAAGATGAGAACACCAGTCCGAACAATGTAAATAATATAAATAATTACAATACGTCATCTCAGAAATATAGACAAATCCTGAAGAAGGCCTGAGTATACAAAGACCGAAACGTCGTGAATATGGCAATAAAGATGAGGACAATAGTCTGAACAATGTAAATAATTACAATACCTCATCTCAGAAATATAGACAAATCCTGAAGAAGGTCAGAGCGTACAAAGACCGAAACGTCGTTAATATGGCAAAAAAGATGAGGACAATAATCTGAACAATGTAAATAATGTAAATAATTACAATACATCATCTCAGAAATATAGACAGATGCTGAAGAAGGCCTGAGTATACAAAGACCGAAACGCCGTGAATATGGCAATAAAGATGAGGATAATGGTCGGAACAATGTAAATAATGTAGATAAATACAGTACCTCATCTCAGAAATATAGACAAATAAAATATTAATGCTTACTGGAAAAAGGCGAAAAATGTTTAAAAAGGCAAGTCATAGAAGGAACAAGATAACTAAGGAAATTTCCAGAGAAAAACTAAGCCACTAAAAAAGTATAAAAAATCTGGATCTGAAAAAGTTAATCAAATGATGAAAGAAAAATTTTACACGACAAATATCTATCTGGCAGCTTCAGACGGATTCGGCATAGAGAAGATTACAGAAATCTTACTTATTATAAAATGCAGATTTTGTTTGTTTGTGTGTGTGTTTGTTTGTTTGTGTGTGTGTTTGTTTGTGTGTGTGTGTGTGTGTGTGTGTGTGTGTGTGTGTGTGTGTGTGTGTACGTTTATATATTGGATCGGATTTCCTACATTTTTCAACCGATTTCAACAAAACTTCACAGGACTGCGTAAAATTACCTTGCGGTGGTTCTGACAATGCCAAAATTGGAAAAACACAATTGTTTTTGCACGAAATCAATTTGAAAACACAGTAAAACACCATTCTGTCGCCAGAATGAAAGGGGAACAACTCATATCGAGTTATACTTATTATAAAACCCAGGTTGTTTGTGTGTGTGTCTGTACGTTTATATATGGGATCAGATTTCGTACATTTTTCAACCGATTTCAACAAAACTTCACTTTTTTTTGGCAGGTAGTGTTTCTTATTGTCTTGGACACTTTTTTCTTTATTTTTACATTCAGAATGCTTTAAAAATTTAATTTACAAGACAATTGTTTATAATAAAATTCTATTCAATCGGTAGACTCATCACGATTGAAAACAATTTTTTTGTTTGAGTTTGACTAATTCGTAAAAAAAAACAAAAAAAAAACTAATTAAGACATGCGTGTCCGTCAACTTTAAACAATGATCTTTGTCGATTTTATTTTTCAGTCTTTATGATGGTCGATACTTGATCTATCTCTTACTGCTACATCCCCGGGCAACACCGGGCTCTACTGCTAGTAATAAATAAAATCCACAACGATCTTCATATACAGTAAGATCTCAGTAGATTTATTTATATAATACTCATAAGAAGCCAGGTGAACTTCATCAGACAATCAGCCTAATGATCTGTATAGCAAATCTTATCATTCGAATTCCGATGAATAGAGCGCGCATCAGAATCAGACCGGAAATAAGACAAGAACAGTGCGGTTTCGTTAACGAGACCGGAACAAGAAACGCGATATTTCTGCTCAGAATTTTACCAGAGAGAACGATACAAATACAGAAGTACGTGTACCTGTGTTTTATAGACTACACAAAGACATTCCAAAAGAACTATGTCAAAAATATGTTATGGAATTGCTAATCATCCATGGCGTACTTTCGAATGATATTAGAATAATCAAGAATCTATGTTGGCAGCAACCCGCCTGCCCCCGGATAGAAAATGAATTCAGCACATCTACAAAAATAGAAAATGGAGTAAGACAAGGATGTGTGTGTGTGTTTTTTTTTTTGTTTTTTGTTTTTTTTTGCAGGACTTATTCAACCTATGCAGTGAGTCGATTCTGAGAGAATTAGAAGTTTTACCAGGATTCATTATTGATGGCGACAATCTTAAGAACATGAGTTTTACAGATAACACGGTGTTGATGTCAGACACATGGAAAAAGCTGCCAAAGCTCCGAAAAATATATAAGGAGAAGTGTTATATACAGTACCTATGAACACTAATGGGTATGTCACAATCCTCATAAATGCGTTGGACACTATTGTAAGTGGAGGATAATATACTATCTAAATAGTCCACCACTGGCAGTGGTTTACCTACTTCAAGCCGCTGGCGAGTATTGTATTTTGTTGATGTTATAAAGATTAGCATTTCATTTCCAACCCCCGTTCCGGTTATTCCTCATTCAGTACCCTTTTCTAGGTTACAACAGTCTGTCTGTTCCTATCTATCTATCTATCTATCTATCTATCTATCTGTTCATATCTATCTGCCGCGATCTGTTCATCTCTCTCTCTCTCTCTCTTTCTCTCTCTCTTTCTCTCTCTCTCTATCTATCTCTCTATCTATCTGTCTGTCTGTCTGTCTGTTTGTCAGTCTGTTTATATCTATCTATCAATCTATCTATCTCTCTATTTGCCTGTCTGTCTGTTCATATCTATCTGTCTGTGTTATATAAGTACATATGAACACTAATGGGTATGTCCCAATCCTCATAAATACGTTGGACACTATTTTAAGTGGGGGTAATATGATGTCTAAGTAGTCTACTACTAGCAGTGGTTTACCTACTTCATGACGCTGGCGAGTATTGTATTTTGTTGATGCTGTAAAGATTACTATTTCATCTCCAGCCACCGTTTGGGTTATTCCGCATTCAGTAACTTTTTCTATGATACAACCAGAAGAAAGAAAGAAAAAATAAGAAAAAAGAAAGACAGACAAAATAATAAAAAGAAAATTAAGTGAATGGGGAATGAAAAAAGAAGAGAAACAGAAAAAAAATAATAAAAATGAAAATGAGTAACAATAAGAAAGGAAAACAAAGAATAAAAATAAAATAAAAAGTTTAATGAAAAAAGAATAAAGAAAAGAAAGTTAAAATAGAAGAATAAAGATAACTAAAATAATTGACTGGAAGGAAATTAGGCGAAGTAATTAAAAAAGAAAATTATTTAATAAAAGGAAAATAAAGAAAAGGAATTATGAAAACAGAAGAAAAAACAAAAAAATAGTTTAAGGAAAAGGAAATTAAATGATAGAAGTAAGAGAAAAGTAGAAAAACAGAAAAAGAAAAATATTTTAATTGCGAGAAAATAATACAAGGAAGCAAGAAAAAAGAAAGAAAAAGAAAATAATTTGCTAAAAAGAAAATTAGTTCAAGGAAGAAAAAAGAAAAATAACTGGAAAAGAAAATATTTTAATAAAAGCAAAGTAACGAATAAGAAGAAGGAAATTGAAGAAAAAGATATTGTTAATGAAAAGAGAAATACGTACGTAATAATAAAAGAGTCATAATGTTTTAATAAAAGAATAAAGTTAGAAATACCGATTTACTAAACATAATTTGCAAGTATACAGCTCCCAATAATGATTGAACTTACGACTTAGTCGGAATTGATGAAGGGAGATAATCTGGCTTTCGACATCGATGCGGCAAAATTTCAATAGAAATAAGGTAACAAAAAATATTCGGATGAAATGCGAAGAAAGCAGAAAATAGAAAAAAAAACGAAGAAAAAGAACATTAAAATCAGAGAAAAGAAGAGAAGGAAAACACCTGAAAAATAGAGAATAATTATGTAAATAAATCTTAAGAATATTCAAATAAATTGTGACATAAAGTCGAAATAAAGAAGGAATTAATGAAAAAAAAAGAAAGAAAGAGAGAGAGAGAAAGAGGAAAAAGAAAGAAATGATATGAGAAAAAGAAAGAAAGAAAGACTTGATAAAGAAAGAAAGAAAGAAAAATAGATATAAGTAAAAATAAGATTGAAAGTATATAAGAAAGAAAAAAGAAAGAAAGAAAGAAAGAAAAATCGCTAAGAGAAAAGTCGATAAAAAGATAAAGTAAATGAAATTAATTCATTAACGTGTTAATTGCTAGAAAGAAAGAAACATATAAGAAAAATAAAGATTGAATGGACATAAGAAATAATCAAAGGAAGAATGAAAGGAAGAATGAAAGGAAGAATGAAAGGAAGAATGAAAGAAAGAATGAAAGGAAGAATGAAAGGAAGAATGAAAGGAAGAATGAATTAAAAAAGAAAAGAAAGAAAGAAAGAATCGCTAAGAGAAAAGTCGACAAAAAGATAAAGTAAATGCAATATAAAGAAATGAAAGAAAAAATGCAAGATTAATAACAAGCGTTTAGTATTCAATTAAGGAAAGAATGAAGAATAAGTAAGGAATAAAAATATAGATGGCGGGTAAATAAAAAAGAAAGAAAGAAAGAAAGAAAGAAAGAAACAAACAAACAAACAAACAAACAAGCAAAGAATATGAGTAAAAGTAAGAGTGAAGGTATAAAAGAAAGAAAGAAAGAAAGAAAGAAAGAGAAGGGAAAGAAAAATATTTACATAAATAGAGAGAAGAAAACTAAAAAAGAAAAATGGAAATAAACAATATTATTAAAATAAAAGTAGACGATAGAAAAAAAAAATTAAAGTAAAAAGAATTTTTTTTTTGCATAAATTGGGAGAAGAGAAAGAATAAAAATGGGAAAGAAAAGTTAATTTAGAAAGGAAAATGACAAGGAAAGAAAGATAACTATTAAAATAAATGGAGACAAGAGGAGGAAGAAGGAAAAAATATTCACAAAAATTGAGAGAAGAAAAAGGAGAAAGAAAAAAAAAAGCTATTCAAATAAAAGTATAGAGAGGAAATTGAACAAAATATTCATAAAGATCTCTGATAAAACAAAATACAAAAAGCTATCCATTTTGCTGTGAAGCATTCGTAAGTAAAATTGTATACAATTCCTAATCGGTACTACAACACTTTTGAATTTGAGCTGTCCTAATCTAATATTGAGAGAAAAGAATGAAATTGACAAAAGGAAGATGAAAAAAAAAACAGAAGTTTATTGGGAAGAAGAAAAGAAAAGTAGAAAAATAAAGGAAAACTAAAAAGAGAATGAAAAAAGAAAATGAAAAGCGAGGGAGGAAAATAAGTGGGAAGAAAAACATAGAAAAAACAAAATCAACAAAAATTCAATTAAAAAGAGATAGAAAAACAAGTAACGACAAAAAAATGAAAGAAAAGGAGATAATGAGAAAAAATATAAATGCCATAAGAAAAAGGAAAAAGTGAAGATGAAAAGAAAAGAAATGAAAAGAATTGTAAGGGAATGAAAAGGTGGAAGAAGAAAACTTATTCGTTACATGAAAACAACAGGAAAATATAAAAATTAACGTTCTAAAGGCAAGAAATAAAAAATAAAGATTGAATAAGAAATAAGAATATTGATATAAGAAAGAAAGAAAGAAAGAAAGAAAGAAAGAATGGAAAACGAATGAATTAAAAAGAAAAGAAAGAGAGAAAGAAAATAGATATAAGTAAGAAAGGAAAATGAAAGAAAGAAATTATAAAAAAAAAATACTATTTAAAATTATAGAAGAGAAGCAAAATTATATAGATAGCAGGAAATTAAAAACGAAAGATTAAAGAAAGAAAAAAGAAAGAAAGGAAGAAAGGAAAGAATGAAGAAAAATCACTAAGAGAAAATTCGATAAAAAGATAAAGTAAATGAAATTAATTAATGTGCTAATGGCAAGAAAGAAAGAAAAATGTAAGGAAAAGGAAGATTGAATGGATAAAGAAAGAATTAAAAAAGAAAAGAAAGAAAAAGAGAAATAAAATAGATATAAGAAAGAAAGAAAAAAGAAAGAAAAAAGGAAAGAAATTATAAAAAATTATGTATGTAAAAATGAAATGGAAAATATAGAAGAGAAGCAAAGGTAGCTGGAAATTAAAAACGAAAGAAAGAAAGAAAGAAAGAATGAAAGAAAGCACAAAAGAAAGAAAGAACGAAAGAACGAAAGAAAGAAAGAAAGAAAGAAAGAAAGAAAGAAAGAAAAGAAAAGAAAGAAAAGAAAGAAACAGAAAAGTTGATAAAAAGATAAAGAAAATTATATATTAATAAATAAAGAAAAAAAAAACAAGATTATTAAGAAGCGGTTAGCGATCAATTAAGAATATGAATGAAGAATAAGTAATGAAGAAGAAAAGATGAAAAATGAAAAGTAAAATAAAAAGAAAAAAATAAACTAAAAAGTAGTTGGTAGTTTAATAAAATAAATGTGATGAATGCACACGCAAAAAATAAGAATAAAAAGTGAAAGAAATTGTGAGAATGAAAACCAAGAAAGAATAAGAGAAGAATGAAAAAAGGAAAATAACGAAGAAATTGTGACTAATAATCTTTACATAATCAACAGAAGGTTGACGATGAAGACGAACATTGTTGCTTGCTTTTGTCCATTGTAT